CAGAAGAATAACACCATTAAATTATAATTATGAAAATCAAGAAGTACATTGAAATCACCATAAATATTAGCTACAAGCAAAAATCTCAAGATAGCTAACTATAATTACATGATTACTGAAACTACTAAAACCACAAGAGTATATGAGGATGTCAAGAGCATCTTAGGAGTGGGCTAGATACAGTGTGATATTACCCTATTTATACTACTTCCAATAATGTTATTATCTCTTTATTATTTTTTATTTGAGACAGGATCTTGCTCTCTCACCTGGGTTAAAGGGCAGTGGCCTGATTATGGCTCAGTGTAACTCAAACTTCCAGGCTGAAGCAATACTCCTGCCTCAGCCTCCTAAGTAGCTGGGATTACAGGTATGCACTACCACACCCAGCTAATTTTTCTATTTTTTTCTAAAGACAGGGTCCTGCTCTTGCTCAGAGTGGTCTGAACTCCTGACCTCAAGGGACTCTCCTGCCTCAGCCTTACAGTGTATTAGGATTACAGGCGTGAGCCACCACATCCAGCCTTATTTATTTTAAAGCCATAAACACCCAGTTAATTTTGAGGACATACAAGCACATTCTCTTTTCTAATGGGCAACACCTTTTTGCAGATACAAACATGTAAAATTCTCTATATTATGTGTAATAAGTTTCTTTAAAATTAGAGTTTTAGAATTTAGGAATCTAAAGTTTTACAGTCAGAACTCTTCCACACAGAAAGAATTATTGAACACACAGCAATAATGGTAAATGGTACTAATACTTGTGTTTTACAAAACATAACATCAAAAAACTTTTTTCTTTGAAATTAACTTACCTTGGGTTGCTTAATTAAGTCAAGCAAATCTTTTACTTGATGTCTAAGCAGATTTTGACATTTCCACATTTCATTCAATGCTCTGAAAAACACACAAAAAAGTCAATTTAAATAAAACAAGATCAAAATCCTTCTTGAATATTTCAACTAAATAACTTGTTTTAAAGGTTCAAATTATAAACACAGATGACAGAGATGAGGTAAAACACCTGGGGGAAAGAAAGGAATAAAATATAACATATAATATTTATAAATAATATAACCTATAACGGATAGCAGGATCAAAAGAAAGTAAATATTAGTGGTTGTCCTTTCCTTTGTATAAAAATAGGGAAGATCTATCATTATTGGGAGCATATAGGTAAGCGAAAGAGCAGGAATTAACTGGAGAAATAGAGGAATAACTAATGGAGTAAGGTTCTATGATACACAGGTAAAATGAAATAGAAGACTTAGCCATGAGAGAATAGTGATACATTTTCTTTTTTTTTGGCTGGGGCTGGGTTTGAACCCACCATCTCCGGCATATGGGGCTGGTGCTCTACTCCTTTGAGCCACAGGCACCACCCGTGATACATTTTCTTTTAACAGCAATCTAGTTATATTTAAATTTTAAACTGTATGGAATTATCTGTCCTATAAGTGAATACTGTTTTTATAAGGCAAAAATCCTGATGTCCTCCTTAATAGCTACATTGTTCTCAGGCAGAAATTTAAATCTAAAAAGAAGTTGTACAGGTACTTAAGAAAATATATGCAAATCATAGAGAACCATTAGCTTTAGTATTAGATTACAGAACATCAGAACCACACATTTTAAAATTTTAAAGGGAAATTTCCAAAAACAAAAAAATATATTTTTCATCAGTTTGTTTCCAATTATCTAAACTTATTGTCTATTACTACACATATGAAGCACTGACAATTAACAATACAGAAGCATATAAAACCATTTCCTGTCATAGACCAGAAAACCATTTAATATTTTTGTATTTTCATACTCTCCTTTAAAATGTTTTAAAAATGTCTTTGAATGTTTTTAAAGGAAATACATTAGTTTAAATATGGACGCTTAAATTCCTTTGTAGTAGTCACTTCAAAGTAATGCTGGCAAAGCCAGTTATTAGCACATTTTCATCTCAGAAATTAAATTCTAAATAGCTATACTTTACTATTTTCAAGTTACCAATTTCTAAAATATAAACATTGAAACCAAGATGACCATTCTCTGAAGGGCTATAAAAATCTAACAACTAAGTAGCAGTCACACAATTAAATAATTTTCAAAGAAACAAAGTAGCTATCTGTGAAATTACTTCTGAAGTCCAAGGTCAATGTATACTCTTTCTTCTATACACTGCATCATTACAATTGCTAAAAGGCCAAGATTTTTAAAGTTGTCTTCATTTAAAGAGGAAATTATTTCATTAATTTAAAGATGAAATAGCCAGAGATTCTGAAGCTCATTATAAACTGTTATGGCTACAGCTTAAGTCCAAAAGTGATCATCACCAAGAATTTATATAACATATTTAAGACGACTGTCTTCTGAAGTATTTTAATAAAATTATCTTAAGCAGCAGGGCAATTTGTCCTTCTTTACTGCCTTTTTAAATGGTTCTTTAAAAAAGAGAAAAAAGGTTATAGTGGGAGAAGCAATTTTGCAACAGGAAGGCAAATATTCATTTATTTAATCATAGGGTACTTTTATACTTGTTATCTGACATTTTAAAAAGAGAACTAATTCTCTCCGTAGGGATTCTCTTTGTTACCAAATAAGAAGTTTGCAGCAACTAAAAAGAAAAAGACAATTACCCTTGAGTTTTAGTATGGGATCTGGTCAAATGTTGAAAATAACCTCTCCTAGGCTATGCCTGTGGCTCAGTGTGTAAGGCGCCGGCCCCATGTACCAAGGGTGGCAGGTTCATACCCAGCCCCAGCCAAACTGCAAAAAAAAAAAAAATAGCCGGGCATTGTGGCAGGCACCTGTAGTCCCAGCTACTACGGAGGCTGAGGCAGAAGAATCGCCTAAGCCCAGGAGCTGGAGGTTGCTGTGAGCCGTGTGACGCCACAGCACTCTACCAAGGGCGATAAAGTGAGACTCTGTCTCTGTAAAAAGAAAAAGAAGAAGAAACCTCTCCTCCAACTTTCTGCTCCCAGCTGAGCAAATCACCCATCAGACTCAGAAGAATAAAACTGTCCTAGATGCAAACCTGCTCAATGAAAGAGAAGATCACAACTAAGATACCTGCTACTATTTCCTATTCTTGCCCCTACAGGAGCTCTGGGAAACCTGTAGGAGGTGGGACTATAAACTGTCATCAGATAGTACTCAAAATGGCCTCTATTTTCTTTTTCAATAATCAAGATACATAGTTTATTTAGGCACTGACTCAAAACCTGTTCTCATCAAAAAGTCTAAACTTGGCTCGGCGCCTGTGGCTCAAGCAGCTAAGGTGCCAGCCACATACACCTAAGGTGGCAGGTTCGAATCCAGCCCAGACCCACCAAACAACAATGGCTGCAACCAAAAAATAGCCGGGCGTTGTGGTGGAAGCCTGTGGTTCCAGCTACTTGGGAGGCTGAGGCAGGAGACTCACTTGAGCCCAGGAGTTGGAGGTTGCTGTGAGCAGTGAAGCCATGGCACTCTACCCAGGGGCTCAGCCTGAGGCTCTGTCTCAAAAAAAAAAAAAAAAAAGTACAGGAAATACTTTTGTCTTCCCCACAAAAAAGTACTCACAAAATAAAATAATAGCTTTTTTTCAACAAAGAAGAATCTTTACTAAACAAGTACTCACCAGGAATCTACTTGATAGATGGCTACTTTTATAATTATTTTTCTCCACCTACAAACAACATCTATTTTTTTTTAGCATCTATTAATAGTATTTTTAAAGGCCTCTTTCAAATTAAGTAGAGGTCATATATTCAAATGACTTTTTAACAGACCATAAAACTATAAAAAGATCAGTATTTTCAGTGTTCAGAAAAATTATCGTAAGATAAAATTTGATAAACAAAAATTAAGATGTCTAATAATATAAAGGAGAATGCAAAAACTCATGAACACTGAGAGTAACTAACCTAACAATCATATTGGAAAACAATTTGACAATAGTTCACAATGATGACAATGCACATCCTCAGCACTTCTGCTTTGTGTTATTAGTGATTCCAAACCTTGACTGCCCATTACAATCTCCTTAAAATGCTTTTCTGAAAATCCCAATGCTCAAACTATTCTACGGACAAATTAAATGATGATCTTTGAAGGAGAGACAGTTGTAGGTATTGTTTAAACCTTCCCAGGTGATTCCAGTAAGTGTCCAAATTTGAGGACCATCTGTAATCATACCGTAGAGATATCCTTCCAAGTATATACTAAACCGTAAAGTATTTACAGTCACTACTTGAAATAGTAAAAAGATAAAAATAACAGAAATGTCATTTCCATAGATTCAAATTTCCAAGTCAAAATAATGGAATAAAATTATGGATTAATGACAACGTAATTCAATGTAATTCTATGCCACAGTGGTATGATCTACAGTTTTATATCCAATATTATGGTGAACCTTAGCAACAAAATAAAAGTCTATATATGCAACTATTTCACTTTCACAAAATTCAAAACCAAGCAAAAATATATTAGTATTATTGAGGGATCTATACAACATACACACACAGGAATATACATACACACATATGTTAAAACAAAAACAAAAAAATTTTGAGGCGAGACAGAGCCTCAAGCTGTTGCCCTGGGTAGAGTGCTGTGGCATCACAGCTCACAGCAATCTTCTACTTCAGGGCTTTAAGTGATTCTCTTGCCTCAGCCTCCCAAGTAGCTGAGACTACAGGTGACCATCACAATGCCTAGCTATTTTTTGGTTGTAGATGTCATTATTGTTTGGCAGGCCTGGGCTGAATTCGAACCTGCCAGCTCTGGTGTATGTGGCTGGTGCCTTAGCCGCTTGAGCTACAGGTGCTGAACCATGTTAAAACAATTTTTAAAAAAGAAATGAGAAACACAAAATTAAGGCTAGATGTGACCTCTAGGAGGAAGAAAGGATGAAAAGTAGAGTTCACAAGCTGGGTGGTAGAGTCAGATATTTTTATTTTATTACTATGCTTCATAACTTACCTAAATGATTTTTTTTTTTTTTTTTTGCAGTTTTTGGCTGGGGCTGGGTTTGAACCCGCCACCTCCAGCATACGGGGCCAGCGCCCTCCTAAATGATTTTTAATGGTATTACATAATAAAAAAAAAAAAAGGCTTTGGAGTAAATAATCATAGATAAATATAAAGTACTAAAATCTTGGTAAGTATTAAGAGTCAGTTCTAAAAAGGTAGTTAAAATAAAAATCATTTAAAAATGGTATGTATGTAACTTTAAATATTTTACCTTAGATAAATATCTGTTCATTTACCAATCATTTTATATAATCAAAGGCTTTTGAGCTCTGGTCCAGATTAGAATCTATTTTCAACTCTCAGCAGCATTACTTTTCAGCATATCTCTTGTGAACAGCACTGTATTTTACTTTTTAATCCAATCAGTTTACTTGCCATTAAAATGATGAGTGAAATCTGGTATCTTTAGTTTTATAACTACTATTTATAATTTGTGTTTTTGTGAACTGTTATTTTTCTTTTTTGCTTCTGGTATCAAAATTTCATTCTTTTTTGTTCTTCTGGATTTGAAAGCTATACATTCTAATTCTATTCTTTTATGGGTAATGGTAAAACTTCTAACATGAACATCTGACTTATGGTCTAATTAATCAACATGTCTGCCTTCACATTTACATGATAAAAGAAACTTACAACACTTTAACGCTAATTACTTACTCATCATCTTATTTGTTATCTTGTAAGGTCCACCTAGTATTCACAAGTTCATGGCATCAACCAATGAGAAGAGTAGGCAGGGTAAGAAAGTCCTGGAGGCCCTCCTGCTTTGCCCAAACATGGCAGGGCCACAGAAGAGAAGGTTCCAGGGATACTCAGGAAATTCACATGATGGCTAAATAGTAGCCTAGATGCTACTTACTTATACATATCTCACCTCTTACAAATAAAACTATTATACCATCCTTGAACAGATTTATAAAAATGTTTGAAATGTTTGCTGCTCCTTGTATTTTATTCCTTCTTTCTAGATTTAATTTTATTTTTTATATCCCACCTAAATTCTTTTTAGTATTTTTTTTCAAGTAGGATCTGTAGTGTCAAGTTTTGCTTCAAATTGTTTTTATTTAATTTTCATGTTTGAATAATAGGTGAGCTGAGCCAAGAGGTTTAAATTCACTGAGACTGCCAACAGGTTATTTCAAACAGGATATATATACACACACACAGTGCATTTCATCTAATCTAAGAGGCCACAAGAAAAACAGCCATTGATTAAACTATGCTGAACCAATAATTTTAGGATACATTCCAATTCCAGATAAAACATGTATGATATAAGTAATTAATATGGTAGTAATATATTTTACTATATGTAACAGAAAAAAAAGAAAATGCTTTGGAACCAAGAGAAACTGAATCTCTCTTTACTACCTATGTGTGACTTTGTGCATGTTAATTAATCTCTGTGTGATTCAGTTCAAGTTGAGTGAAATAGAAAAAATATCACTTAAACCAGAGTTGGCAAGCTTTTTCTGCAAAAGGTGAGACAGTAAACGCTTATTTTAAGCTTTGTGGGCAGTAGGGTCATTCGTGCAACTACTTTTTCAATGTAGTGTAAAAGCAGCTAAAGATAACATAAATTCCAGTGTCTAAAATACAGAAAGTAGGAAGAATGTATATTTCTACCTTCTACAATCTTTCCCCAAACATTTCTATATAAAATATAAATAGCACATATAATTATTTCCATGGAGGAAATGAAGTCAAAAGTCCCATTAAACAATGGTACAAATGAAAATTATATACAGCTCATTAGGCATCCAATTTCTGAACATTAAAAACCCAATGGCTATAAATTACATTTGTTGGAATCATAAAGGTCAACATTTCCTAAAACCTGAAGCAAATCTCTAGGCCTCAATTTCCTAACCCTTAATATGATTCAATTAAATTTGTAACGTTTTTTCCATGTCTAAAATGTCAATTCCCTATCCACATACTCAAAAGAACTTTTTGAACCGAAGATGGTAATAAAAATATATTTGTATTCAAACTACATCGTATCGAAGCTATGCAGCACAAAATTTGTACCCTATTGCCCTACACCATAACACAAATCATTACCAGGTGGGAGTAAGATTGTATTTTAATAATATGGACCTTCCTAACATCTTAAGAAAAAACAAAAATAAGAAAGAATAGGAACCTCAACATTTAAGACACTAATATTAAAATCTAGAGAGAAAAAAATGAAATACTAAAAGATTCCATGTTAATCAACTCTACTTTTTAATTGCTTACAGTGGCTTAATATGTTAATGGCAGTACTTTCAAAAACACAACCAAGTACTTTATTGTGATTTGACTCTTTGTATAATGTTTTCATTACATAGTTTACACTTAAAGATTCAGTTACTTAGGGCATTTTCTTCCATAAAATCCAATATACTACAAAAGATGAAAAGAATAGAGCTTGACATGCAAAACATACTTTACAGCATTTAAATCCAGGGTGGCATACAAGTAATATAAGCACTTCATCCGTTCTGTAGTTTCCAAATTATGAGGAACCATGTATTGAGCAAAGATCCGTTCAACAAGTAATCTATGGAAGAGCAGAGAAGGCACAATATTGATTTATTTAATGTATTAAATTTGAATATAAAATTCCAAAACTACATAAAGAATACATATTTTAGAAGTTCCAGCTTTCCTCAGCAGAAACACGATTTGCAAAACAAAACCTTTCTTCTGCAAAAACAGGGTCCAAAACAGGATTTAGCTAAATGTAATGAAAACAGCCCTAGACCCAGCTGACTACCAGCTTGACCTTGAAAATGTTACTTATCAGAGACTTAATTTCCTTATTTATATAATAAAAGATTAAAAATTATACCAACTTCTTCCAAATGCAAAGTTCTAAATTTCTGTTATGTTACACTACAAAGACATTTTTAAGATTTTTCTGAGCTTGCATAGTGATCATCATGAAAGAAGGCCCGGTTCAAAGAACTAAAAAAGGCCTATAAAAACTTAATGTAAATCTGTTTACTGATGCCATACTCAAAAAGTCTGAAAACTTCACTTTAGAAAAATAACTATGATATCAAATAATCTTTGATAACATTAACCAAAGAAACTCTGTTTCTAGCTTCTATATATTTAATATTTTAATATGATCTATTGCTTCTTAGTTTTCTCATTCTGACAATCTGATCCACAGGCAAGATCATTTGAATTCTGCTAACAATTTGTCAAATCAATTCAGACTGTAGCAGAATTTTACAACTTTATTAACTACTAAATAATTGAAATCCATACAAGATCCAACTTGAAAAATACTGAAGTCATATTCAGATAATGTGTTTTAATATAAATTTATTAATTGTTTTTTAGCCTTGAGTACAGATTGTTTTTATTCATGACTACAAACCAAAAGGTTTTCACTTGAATTTTATTTTAAAAAAATTAGAAGATCCTTACAACACAATTACACGTGAAACAAAATTTAAATTATAACAATATACAATCCTGCTTTTAAATTATTCTGTTCAAAACTAGTGTTATGAAATGAATGTAGAAGCTGTACTTGTCCATAAAGTTGTATGTACATTACTGTTTCATTTATGGTTTTGATGGGAAGGAAAGTGATCATTCACTACCATGACCTCATAGTAAAAACAGAAGAAACAGTTTAAAGTAATACAGAATATAGTTTGTGTAAAACAACAAATCAAGTTACAGAACACTCAAAGTCACCATGTAACATATAATGTCCTGAACTTACCTATCATCAATACTATTTTGATAATATATATGTAGCAATTTGTCTTTGATCCAGGATATCTGTTTTGCAGCATCTTTTCCAGCTGCTGATTGTAGAGCATATTTCTTATAAATCTGGGCAAGTCCCATCATGGCTTCTTTGCGCACTCTCCACTTAAAATTAAAAAAAAATAGTTTATTTATAATGTAAAAATGCTTCCATTACATAAATTTAAGCCTGCTTTTCTAGTTTTTATTTTCCTTCCCTTGATTCAATATAATTTCTTTAGGCCTCAGATCCTCAGTATCAATTTATAATTACTGTATTTATGAAAAATGCAAATATCATGTAAATATTTTCTACTATGTAAAATACAGGAAATATACCAACTTGTATTAGCAATTTCAGTGCTTTTACATCTAAAACCCATGACCTATCCCTAAAAACAAAAGTCACCCACAAGCTACATAACATCACTTAAAATTGTTAACAAAATGCAAGCTACTAAATGTAAAAAGGCAAAGGCAACATTGAATGGATAATGGTGTAAAATGTAAAGACAAAACTGAACAGGTAATGATGACCTATTCCTCATAATCTTTTTCTAAATTATGGTCGGTATTAAGGAGATTTGTGCCATTATTAATAGTAATAGTAACTCAGATGCACATTAAGGCAGGTATGACATTGGCTTTATTAAGTACTGAATGTAAAGACACATCAGTGGTTCATTCTGCACATCTCGGAATCAAGTTCAAGTATAAGGAAAATGTATTTGACTATTTTTTTAAACAAATACTGTATATCTGCTACAGTATATCTAACATTACTTAATTATCTTGGAATCAGTTTATTATTTAATTTTACAAAGACTGCACAATAATTAATACGAAGTTAGTAATGCTTAGAACGTCATGAATTTGCAGAGATGATTCATTTTTTTCCTTTTCAATCTGTCAGTTATAGCAATATTCTTTCCTTGGTTTTTGTTTCAATTAATTACAGTAGATTAAGAATCGTCTTTATCTCATTCATCTACCAACTACATATTGAAATAAGTCTTTGAAAAAGTCTTACTCATTTTAATTTGTTTGTAAAACTTCTTACCACTACCACCCTATGTTATCTCTAAGTCTTAATTCCCTGGATTGCTGCTTCAAAAAGAATTTAAAGATACACCATGGTTGCTGAGCATAATGACTCACACCTGTAATCCTAGCACTTTGGGAGGCAGAGGCAGGAGGATGGCTTGAATCCAAGAGTTCAAAACCAGCCTGAGAAAGAATGAGACCCTGTCTCTACAAAGAAACGGAAAAATTAGATGGGGATGGTGGCACACACCTATAGTCCCAGCTACTAAGGTGGCAAAGGAAGGAGCTTGGGCCCAGGTGTTTGAGGATGTGGGAAGTTATGATCAAGCCACTGCACGCTAGCCAGGGCAACAGAGTAATCCTGTCTTTAGGGAGAAAAAAAAATCCCTGTCTTTATGTTTGCCAAGAACATGTATATAGTCTATTATTTTTCAGTGCTCAATTTTTATAGGAATGAATAGAGCAACCCTGCAATAATTCAAAATATACATGATCCCAACAATACACAAAAAGTAAGGGTAGCTAAGAAAAAAATTAATGCTTAGAAGGCTGTTACCTTGTATATGATATAAATGTGCTTTTCCTTCTTTATACCTTTGGCCTTTTTCAAAATAATTTAATAGCCCAATGAAATATTCAATAAAAAATTTATCAGTTAAAATAAACTGTCCTGAAAACCATGTAATTTCTGCTATTTACCCTCTAATCAAAACCGGCATTATAAAAGACAAAATCAAATAATGAAAACAGCATAATCAACCTTGTACGATTGTTAAAATATTTTAAAGTATTTACCTAGAGAAACCTATTCCCTGCTACCAATAGGCCTCCCATTTTCTTTGCTTATTAACCCCTAAATAAGTCATAGAGTCTCATCCTTCACCAAAATTATGTTAAGTTTTTAGTCTGTAGAGCCTATACCATGATGGAAGGACAATCAGGAGGTGGGGAAAAATAAATGTTCACTGAAATGTTTCTAGGCAACATGGATACATGTCACAACTCCTTGCTTCAGAAGCTCATATTAATGAGTGGAGCTAGTAGATGTTCATTCAAGAAAGTTGGTCTGAAGTCATAAAAGATAGGCTAGAAGCTCGCAGCTCTGTTGCGTTTAGCTTTCTTTAGAAAGAAAACAGAACATCTTTCTATTCCATGTTAATTATAATAAAACCAACTAGAGGACTACCAACTTGTACTCACAACACAATACCCTTGAAAGAAAAGACAGAAAGAAAAGAGTCAACAGTTTAAGAGAAGTTGTGTCTGAGGCGTTCACAAAAGTCCCTTATCATTAAAACTGGTATATAACCCAAACATCTGACTATTCTACCATTAAGAACCATCTTATTTTTAGGATGAGAACAAATACTCTTAATAAATGAAAACTAGTAAAATTTAACGTAACAAAAAGTAAAGCAATCTCATAAATGTAATTTTAAATAATAAAATGCTTTCACCCCCCAAAAAGACTAATGACATTTTCTAGGGCTAATCAGCATTTTCCATTTAAACACTATTAAACTTCAAGTATTAAAAATAAAAATTGGCTTGGCACCTATAGCACAATGGTTACGGCACCAGCCACAACGCCAAGGGTGGCGGGTTCGAACCCGGCCCGGGCCAGATAAAAATAATGACAACTGCAACAAAAAATAGCTGGGCATTGTGGTGGGCGCTTGTAGTTCTAGCTACTTGGGAGACTGAAGCAAGAGAATCACTTAAGCCCAAGAGTTTGAGGATGCTGTGAGCTGTGATGCCACGGCACTCTACCAAGGGTGACATAGTGAGACTCTGTCTCAAGGACAAAAAAATTAAAAACCAGTATGAGGGAAAGGGAGGTGGGAAGTGCAGGAGCAGTGACCAATGATGCAGCTATTTGGGACAGTCTTGCAGGGAAGTAAACAGTAACAAAGGCTCTCTGCATGGCCACTGAGTCTCAGGCCTCCGACCCTCCTCTCTCAGGCCCATCTGTGCATGTCCTTGTATAATCCAATTTAGCCAAGAACCCACTAAGGTAAGTTAGTAGGAACTCCCCCCCATGACTCATCACCCTCATGTCTGATGACCTTTCTCACCCTCTGCCACCCTCCAGGGAATATCTAGTCACCCTGGCCTCTGTCATCGGCAAGAGTCCTTTGGGTTGGTTTGATCAGACTCCTCCAATGCAGTTTTCCTCTTAGTAATTTTCTACCCACTGACCCCTACCCTGCTCTTTGGCTGTAAATTCCCACTTGCCCAAGCTGTATTCAGAGTTGAGCCCAATCTATCCCCTTCACCTGAGAGCCCACTGTGGGGTCCCTGTACCTAATGCAATGGTCCTGAATAAATAGTCTGCTTTAAAAAAATAAGAAATAAAAAATACAAACTAGTAATTATTATTCTTATTTACTTACCCGCTTGTCTAATGTTCTCTCTCTCACAAAATTAAGTAAGTGATCATTGACCAGAAGAATATCCTTTTTAGCAGCTGTAACTATAGATACAATAACATCATGTCTAATAGCTTCTTCAGGGTCATGTGACCTCACTTTTAGATACTCTGAAAGATAAATTTTCAATGGAAACTTTATTTTCAACGGAAACTTTAACAATTAAAATGTTTTTAAAAACTGCATAAGACATATGAAAATAAACCTCAGCAAAACCAAAACCTAAGTAGAAGGTTCAATGTTTCAAACAAACCAAGAGTCTGGAAAGAAAGAAAAAAAAGGAGGAGGAATATTGGTCCTTCTGTCAAATTATGTAAGTTATAACAAATAGTAAAATGTCTCTCCACATTTGGTGTACATAGAAGTTCATTAAGGCATTAGGAAATCTTATTAATTAAACTAGATTAGGAAATCTTATTAATTAAACCATTTAAATGAACCAAGAGGTATATCAACGTTTCATTTTGGTCTCTCCTTTAAATGGATAAAATGTTCAAGTCAAGTGTACTAGTAGGAAAGACAAAAATATTCCAGTTTCTGTACCTTAACTGGGGAAACCCTGATTAAGCTTACTGAAAGAATAAAACTGACAAGGTGGCTGCCATGAAACAGGACAATGGATATCATAAGGCAATTCCACTTAACTGAACTAAGAAAAGCCACAAGGAAGGCAGAAAAAAATGAAACAGATTTTAACAATTATGAGTGACTAGAGTAGGTTCTTAAAATCAAAACATAGAATTCACATGTGGCACTGAGATGGGAAAATAAAAACCCACTTAACAAATTTCAGTAACGATATTGTAGGCTTAAAGAAGAGGTAGCCCAACTAAGCACAAATTTAACAAATAAAATATTATTCATCTTTTTTTATTATTGTCAGACCAGTAAGATAAAATTCAGTTGTCTGAATTTGGGTTAATTAAAAAAAAAAAATAGCCATGTCTATACACAAACACTGACTGTGAGTATATTCACTACATAAATTAACACTTTCACAAATAATTAAAACACAAATATCCATAAAAACCACTGCCCAGGTCTTAAGTCCCTTCACCTTGAGCATTCTCTACTAATAGAAACTATTCTTAAAATGAGAAAGACCATTATGTTACTTTAAAAAAAAAAACTTCAAAAGAAATTTGCAAATGTTATCTTACCTAACCTAGTAAAGTTTTTAGTATTATGATTTCAAGGGAACATGTTAAGCATATTTTAAGTTCATTTCACCACCAAAATAAATACAGGAGTTTTATAATTCACTGTACTTATTTCAGATGTAATACATATTATTTTATGTGTCATTAAGAAAAAAACAATACCATACTATCAACTTTAAGATATATCCCAATTTCCATAAAACTAGTCGCTCATATTAAACAAGTATATATAGGAGCTGAAAATTCACATAAAGAATAGTAAGATCCCCCAAATTTTTCAGAAGTACCTTTTAGCCAACCACACAAAGAGGATGAAGAAAAGAAAATCATATAACATATCAATGTGAGTATTCCTCTGAAACTGAAACTATATACTATCTTAAGTTAGCAAAATATGTAAAACAGTAGTAAGAACTAAAGGTTACTTGTGAAATTACCCACATTTGAAGCATATTTTAGACAGTTTTGAAAAAATCAAAACATCAATTTATCATTTAGCCATTAGTAAATGTCTGAATGACTATGGAAAAAATACTTAAATTTTTTAATACTTTAAGAAAAGTCTAGAAATCTTTTTTACAAATCAATAAAAATAAAATAAATCAGTTAAAAAAGATGGATTTAAAATTTAAACAGATGCTTCATAAAAGATACATATCAATATGGATACCTAGAGATGCTAAAAGGTGAATGCAAATTAAAATCACAACAAAATATCAAGGCCTACAAAAATAGCTAAAATCAAAAAGACTGATGATAAAAAAAACATTCTGAAGAATGCTGAATAAGTGAACTCTCATCATCACTGGCCAATGTTAAATAGTCTAACAAATATGGAGAACTGTTTAGTTGTTTCTTCTAAAGACAAACATGTATCCACTCTATGACCAGCAATACCACTATTTCCAAAGAGGAGTAAAAACATAAGCCCACAAAAACACTTGTATAAGAATACTCAAAGTAATCCTAATCATAATAGCTTCAAATCAAAACCTCAGGTATCAAAAAAAAAAAAAGGGGAAGAGTGTACAAATATGGTATGTTCCTATAAAGGAATATGAATACTTAGTAAGAATAAACTAGTACAGGATAAAGAGATGCCCCCCAAAAAGTATATACTCAAAAGTGTTTATGATTCACATATATGAAGTCCAAAAACAAGTTAAAACTAATCTATAATAACAGAACTCAGAAAATGGGGGGAAAGGAAGAACTTACTGGATAGAATGGAATACAAGGGAAACACTTCAGATCTGTGCATTTTATTGCAGAATAGTCTGAAATTTTCCCTAAAATATATGTAAATCAGCTCGGCGCCTATAGCTCAACCGGCTAAGGCGCCAGCCACGTACACCTAAGGTGGCGGGTTCGAATCCCCAGCCCGGACCCGCCAAA